TAGTAATTTGAAGACCCTGACCGGCTGCCGGTCATATAGACACAGCGCCAAACGCATAACTCCCGGGCCGGGAAATAACTCTGAAAAACTCGACTAGATTTCTTCTTTGTAACTAAAACTTTTTATTTGTCAGAAAAGTTCTTCATTGAACGCAAAATTCTATTAGTCGTCGTTAACTCGCACGTAAATGAGATGTAAATATCCTCTCTTCGCTAGGTTTAGATTTCTCGATCGACATCTGAGCAGAAAATTTATAAGTTTCGATGCCGTAAAACACGTTATAAATTTATCGATATAGACTCAAAATTAATATATATTTGATATATATTCCTGATATTGTGATATTTAACATTTTGAGATAAGGTAGCGAATCGACTTCTATTAGTAGCGAATCGTTAAAGTGCATATCAGGGTTCGCTAGTTTCAATTCTAAAATAAAGTTTGTGTTGTATAAAGAGGATTTTAGGTATTAAAATTTCAAAAATTATTTTTCCTGTGTAATTTTTTGAGAGTCAAAGTTGGCAAAAAAGCATGATTTGGGCTCCCTTTAGAAACATTTCGGAGCTGTTGAAAGGGATTGGTACCGAGTTGTTGTGACGTCATTTACGGGACTTGTTGATCAACAGTTCAAGGGTTTTTCCTAGTAGAAACGTTCGTAGTGTTACAGAAGCTTATTGAAAATATTGAAAATCGAAGATAAATTTAAGTTTTATTATTAAGATGCCCGACCGTTGTGTCGTCGGAGGTTGTGGTAATGAGAACAGCCGTAAGAACGGCATCTCGTTGCACAGAAWTCCGTTTTTTGGYGATGATCGTCCAGAAGCCGTGAGACGCCGCAAGAAGTGGGTTGAYTTCGTTCTTCTCACAAGAAAGAAATGGAGTGCGACTTCTATATCTGCGATTTGTTCCGACCATTTTAGAGCGGAAGATTATGCGCGACAGTTTATCGCAATTGACGGACAATCAGCGCCTAACAGTCAGAGACTYGTTCGAGATGACATCGGTATCGTTGCCATACCATCCATTACTGCAAACAAGAAGGCTAAACCTGCATCTGAGTCGGCTGCAAAACGATCAAGGCGAATGGTAAGAATASCATCCACTTTTAAACTAAGTAAAATAAGACGATTAACTTTTATTTATCSATCTATCTAATGATAAACAGGTCGTGAGGGAAGTTTTACGGTCAATCAACATCCAGGAACAACAAAATACAGCCGAGGATATGGAGCAAGCGAAGGATCAAAGCCCAGATGAGACAGATCAGAGCCCAGAAGATCTACAAACAGTTCTACAAGAAGTCTCAGAAATGAATGAACTGGACGATTTGGTATGTTTAAAAACTTTACAAACATGTTATT